AGGGACGCGGTCGAACGCCTTCTCCAAGTCCACAAAGCACATGTAGAGTGGTTGGGCAAACTCCCACGTACCCTCCAGGACCCTGCTGAGAGTGTAGAGCTGGTCCAGTGTTCCACGGCCAGGACGAAAACCGCACTGTTCCTCCTGAATCTGAGGTTCGACTATCCGACGGACCCTCCTCTCCAAAACTCCCGAATAGACCTTACCAGGGATGCTTAAAAGCGTGACCCCCTATAGTTGGAACACACTCTATGGTCCCCCTTTTTGAATAGGGGGACCACCACCCTGGTCTGCCAATCCAGGGGAACTGCCCTCGATGTCCACGCAATATTGCAGAGCCGTGTAAGCCAACACAACCCTACAACATCCAGAGACTTTTTTCCAGAGAATTTTGCCATTACTCACTGTAACAGCCGCTCTCCTGCTGGTCTTGATTTTTCAAGTCTTGAACATTAATTAGCCGAAGCCCGATGTCAGATGAAAAAAAAAAAAGCCACCTCTCTTCCCAGTAGCAGCGGACCCCAAAATATCCACCCGCCCGATGGCAGCGGTCCAACAAGTCGTCAGTCCAGAGCCACCCTCCACTACCACAGACCAGCAGACGCCGCAAGTCCGATTTTTGGAGAACAGATCCCGCAGCTCCAGACGCTCCAAGAACCACGACAGCAAATCGGCCCTCACTGAAACAAGGATCCAACGGCGATATCCTCCCGCACCTCCGCACCTCGTCCCAGCAGCTGCAGCCCCCCCGGCTCGACAGCCGAAAGCCGACACTAGCCACTGGGTCCACCTGCCTCTCGAACGCAGTCTGTCACCTGGCCGCTGGCTCAGGAGCTCTCACACACCAACTGCTGATATTGTAGTTTAACATATGACTCCAGTGCGCCCCCTAGATTATTCCAACAGTTATAACTCAGGGATACATCATCCGATCTGCCAGACCTCAAAGTTTGACATCTCGCCATGAAAAACAAAATGCTAATAGCTCCTACAAGAAAACTGTCTGAGACATCAAACCTTGAGTGATTGATCCACATCCCGTCCCCTGCAAGACTGAATGGTCAAATCATGACATCACTTAAGCCACGCCCCCTGAAAACAGGAAGTGTATAGTTTTACGTTGAATGGTCCCTATCTGACTCCTGTGACCTAATCAGCATGATAGTGTGTCCAGCAACCAAAGACATGTTGATGTAACTTGCTTTCCAACAATGACAGTTTTGGATGGAGCATGTGGGTGGTGCGGCATGGCGAAGTAAGACGTAACGCCATCACCATACGTTTGGCTCTAAATTCCACAGATTTGAGCTGAGGTGCACCAAAATCAGGATGATCAATCATTATCCACCCCTTGAACAGGAAGCCATGATAAGTGGCCAATAGCCTCCACAACGCCCCCTAGAAGTTTTTAAAACCTCAGCCCCAAGCCAATTTATGACCAATAATTCAGATAATTGGTGAACATCTGTATCTTCTCAGGACCTATGAAAAAGTTTCTTGGAGCCCTGGTCCAAACTCAACAGGAAGTCGGCCATTTGGGGTCAAAGGGTAATTTTTGGCGTTTCTAATTGAGAATTTTAACGAACTCCTCCTAAGGATTTTGAAGGATTCGAACTTGGTTAATATGCCCTTAAAACATTGGAGAGTAAATGTTGTCAAAACCTTGCATTTTCATATATGTTAAAGGGGTGTGGCCAGGCCTCAAAATTGCGCTTCACGCCATTAATTTCCAAACACTATAACTTTCACATTGAAAGATGGAATTGCACCAAACTTGGCATGAGTCATCCCTGTTGGATGCCCGACGGTTCTCTTTGGTCATATTTTGAGGTCAAAAAGCCCCGCCGCCTCAGAACAGAAAGTCTCTTTTTTTACTTGGAATCCTCCCTCTATGATACTCTTGACCTAATCACTATGGTCCTGTGTTAGAAGACATTTAACAAGTTGGTCTGACTTGCTTTAAAAAGCAAACTGTTTTTGCTGGAAGATGTGGGCGTGGCGGCGTGGCAGCGTGGCGAATTAAGAAGTGACGCCCTTGCAATACGTTTGACTCTAAATTGCACATATTTGAGCCGAGGTGCACCAAAATCAGTATGATCAATCAATCATTATCCACCCCTTGAACAGGTTTCTATGATAAGTGGCCAATAGCGTCCACAGTGCCGCCTACATTATTTCTACAGTTATGGCTCAGTGATACATCATCCGATCTGCACCAGATTTATTGTGCGTCATCAGTGAGCACGTCTAAAAACTAGGCTTAAGACTTTCCTTTTTGCTAAATCCTATAGTTAGGGTCGGCTTGGGTTTCCTGAGCTTCCCCTTAGTTTTGCTGCTATAGGCTTAGACTGCTGGAGGACAAACTGACCACACTTGGGCGGCTGTGGCTGAGTGGTTAGAGCAGTCGTCCTCCAATGCGAGAGTTGTGGGTTCGAATCCACAAGCAGTCACATGTCCAAGTGTCCCTGGGCAAGACACTGAACCCCTCCTAGCCTCTGATGTGTGTTCCATCAGTATCTGAATGTGATCTAAAGCACTGATTAGTCTCATTAAAATGATTTGTTCAATTAGCTTTGTAGAAATCTAGTAGAGTGCTGTATGAATGGGTAAATGAGGACACAGATTGTAGTGTAAAGCGCTTTGAGTATTTTGAAATAAGATAGAAAGGCGCTATATAAGTACAGTCCATTTACCATTTACTTTTTCTATCCGCTACTGTCTTTACTTAATCTGCTCACCCTGTTTTGTATTTGTAATTTTTTTCTATCCTTAACATGTGTTGTTGTTTTTTTTTTTTTGTCTTTCAGGTACATCTGGACCTATATCTGGACCTACCATTCTGTGTTCGTCTGTCTCTCCTTCCTGTCCTCTCAAACCAGCCGGTCAAAGCAGATGGCCGCTTGTCCTGAGCCTGGTTCTGCTGAAGGTTTCTTCCTTTTAAAAAGGGAGTTTTTCCTTTTCATCGTTGCCACTGTGCTTGCTCAGGATGGGAGACTGCAACGAAGCCATGATTCAACTTGTCTGCTGGCCTTCTTAGATAAATAACTTTACTAATAGTTTGTTCCTATAAAGCCTCTGAAACCTGGCTCAACAAATCTGTATTCATTAATGACCTGGCAATCAATGGATGTAACATCTACCACTGTGATCGTCAAAAAATAAGGGGGGGGGGGGAGTCGCTGTTTACATCAGAGATTCTTTGGTTGTTAGGCCTGTGTCTTCTAAAACAATTCCAAACCAGTTTGAAGCCTTAGCTGTAAACATCACCTTGAATAGTGGCCAGATCTTATCTGTAGTCTGTTGTTACCGTCCCCCCTCAGCAACACCTGAGGCTCTGTCTGCCCTGATAGAATTTCTTGGTAGTTTAAAATTCAAAGAGATCCTTTTGGCTGGAGACCTCAATATTTATTGGGGTAAGTTGACCTCCCTCTGTAATAAATTCAAGGAATGTTGCCTGTCTCTCAATCTTATCCAATTGATCAACTCTCCCACTAGATTAAACAAAAACCGTCCTGAAAAATCCTCCATCTTAGACCTATTTCTAACTAATATGCCTCACAAATTCCCTGGTACAGGTGTATTTGCCAATATCTTGAGTGATCATTGTGTGACAACAGCTTTGAGAGATATTAAACTTCCACCTTCTAAGCACAGATAAATTCAAAAAAGGGATCTGAAACATTTTTGTGAACAGTCATTCCTCTGGGATCTGTCTCACTTTGACTGGCATCGTATTCTGTTAACTGATGACATGAACTCCCCTTGGAACTATTTTCATAATAGTTTCATTTATTTTGTGAACAAACATGCTCCTTTTCGTCAGTTCAGAATAAAGGGACGAGACAGCCCCTGGTTTACTCCAGAGCTAGCTGACCTCCTGCACAGGAGAGACCATCTTTGGGCCGCAGCAAGAAAATCTGACTCAGACACTGATTGGTTGAGTTTTTGACAGATGAGGAATAAATGTACAACTGCCATATAAGCAGCAAAACACAACTATTTCTTATCTCAGACCTCCAAAAATCTAAATGACCCCAACAGATTCTGGAAAACCATCAAATCTCTCTCAGGCACCCCCCCAATCATCTGACCTCCCATCACAACTTCTCGTTAACTCTGTTCCTGTGTCAAATAAGCACGGGATCCTGAACTGTTTCAACAAACATTTTGTTGCTTCTAGTTCTTTATTTGACACAGTTACTAATGGAAAATCAGCCACTTCACTTAATAACCAAACTTCTACTAATCAAATCCCTCCTACAAGTCAATACTCAGTTAATCACACCTTCTCTTTTTCTCCATTCTCAGGCAGTGAGGTCAATAAACTGTTAAAAGATCTTGATCTTAAAAAATCTGCAGGTCCAGATGAACTTCCACCTTATTTCTTAAGGCTGGCTGCTCATGTTATCACAGTCCCTGTGACCCACATCTTCAATCTCTCCATAAGACAAAACTCCATCCCAGACACTTGGAAAACAGCCTTTGTTCTTCTTTTGCTGAAGGGAGGAGACCCCACCACACTGAACAACTATCGACCAATCTCTAAACTCTGCATTTTAGCCAAGGTTCTAGAAAAACTGATAAACTCTCAAATCAAAAATGACCTGGACTCATTTAGCATCTTACCTCCACATCAATCTGGTTTCAGGGAACAACACAGCACAACCACTGCTTCACTGAAGGTTCTTAATGACGTTGTTGAAGCACTGGATGCTAAGGATTATTGTGCTGCACTTTTCTTAGACCTGTCTAAAGCTTTTGACACTGTGGATCAGAACATCTTGTGTCATAAACTCTCAGAAATTGGTTTCTCAGAACACACCATTGGTTGGGTCTCTAACTATCTTTCAGACCAGAGGCAATGTGTTCAACATAATGGTACTTCCTCCAGTTATTTAACAGTCAACAATGGTGTACCACAAGGCTCAGTCTTAGGACCCACCCTCTTTACAATCTACATACATAACATAGGTAAAAACATCCCTGATGCATATCCTGATGCATGCTCAATAATCCAGGTAGAAAAATCTAAAAAAGTTAAATCTGGTCCTCTGGACATTCAAAAAAACAAAACAAAGCAAATCAACCAAAAAATGTAGAAACGTTTCGTCTCTCATCCGAGAGACTTCCTCAGTCTGAGGAGCTGTATTCAGCTCAGTCTCTTAAATAGCACC